TTTCGTCATTTATATCTCTCTTATTTAAAATCTGCCGTGAACACAGTCGCTGTTAACCATTTCTAAATATTCTCATATGTAAGAACTAGAAACAGTAGCAATATTTAATAAAATAATAATTTACTAAAAATAATTATTCAATAAAAATATTATTAATTATAATTTAATAATAAATAATAATTTCAATGAAATTATTTATCAAATGTTATATTATAACAATAGTAATTTTTAATAAACTTGCTTTTGTTATTTTATATGAAGTATTATTTTGTAATATTATATGATTAAAATATTAATTATATAATAATTAATTAATAAAATATTATTTATATAATATTAATAAAAATTAATATTTTAAATAATCAAATTTAAATATTCATAACTTTTTTTGAAAAAATTAATATGAATTTAGTTTTTCTGAAGTTAAAGAAAAATTGACCAATAAAAGAATTTCCACGTGATTAAAATATCACGTGATTTGTTTCAATTTTGAAAAAAAGTAATCGACTTTAAAATTTTAACTGATAACTTGATAAAGCTTATTTCAAAAAACAATATTACCAGTTTAGTTTTCTAAATTCCATTTTTATTAAAGACAGATAGATTTTAAATTTCTCGTTTTTATTGTTGAGTACAGACTTCCCGTACTATATGTATAACGGAAATATCTACGAATGAACACATGAACGGGAAATTTATTATATCACATATACTCGATCATTAACAAAACGGACACCCTTTCTGTCTCTTTTCAGATGCCTGATAGCAAAAACTTCTATCAGCGTGTTTACAATTGGGAAATCGCACCATCACTAGTACGCGACACATTGATGTGCATAATTGGGCAGAACACGCTTCGTTACACTAATATAACACATTATATTTAGACAGTTATACAACCACGTGTATGTTAAAATTCGATAAAAAACACTTGCCTGATGTCCACATTTTAATACCCTTTCGCACCTTTCCGAACACTTGTACCCTTTTTTTAATTCATGACATGGCATTTCTTTTATGTGTCCACATTTTGGTTGTATTTCTACTTGGACTTCACACGGTCCACACGGATGCCGACATTCTTTTTTACATGGATGTCCGCATGGAAGTTTGCGTAAACAGGGTTCCTGAATTGAAAGCACATACAATAAAATATAATTATCAATTCAAATTGAAAATTTAATTTTAAGTTGAAAGTGAGCGAATAAGAGATGTCAAAAAAATTTACCCGACATGAGACTCGATCGTGAGAAAACGCATGGCAATCACGAGGGCATAACTATTCAAAAATTTAAGATAACAATTTAATAAGAAACAACTAATGATAATTAAAATAATCCAATATACGACTGCATACATGTCCACAATCCATTAATTCACCACATTTCCTAAAGCATCCGCCATCCGGTGGAAATTCACCAGCCCAACTCACAAGAGTCATTGCTGGCGCCATCCGTGTCGAATGTTTCGGACAGATAAGCTTTAATCGGTTCCCGACCCTGTTCATTCGATCAAGAATCAACAAAACTCGTCGCCATACATCAGATTTTTCGGCTAGTTGTCCTGCATTGCCAAATATGTACATGCCATGTTTGGCTCTCGATAATGCGACGCATACTAGCCAAATATTATAAAACGTGAAAAGGAATGGATGAATCTCAAAAAAAGTGATTAGAGGGAAAAATTACTACTTGCCTCGATTGCTCACACTTAAGAACCCTATACCGCGTTGTGGGTTACTTCGTACCAAGGATAACAATATAATATCATTTTCTTCGCCCTGGAACCCGTCCACCGATGCAACCTTGATATGTTTTATAGCATCAACCGATTTTACAGCTTCTTCGCGCAAAAGTTTTTTTATTCTCTCTCGTTGACCAGTGTACATACTTAATATCGTACTTTTGTTGGATTATAAATATATATTTATATATAAAATGCGACAAATTAAAAGATAGTGTCATATACATAAAAACTTAAACAACGAAAAAAATCTTACATTTGACTATATTCATATCCCATCTTCACCAAGTATCCTGCCAATTTGGCACACATTGCTGCTTCATGCTCGTTAATTTTTGACTTGGAATCTTTAACGTTTTTTTCTTCTTCTTCGTGATCAATGAAGAAGAGGTTTTCAGTCATACCCGTAACATCAGGGTATTCCATGACGTTCGGAGCATCTTCGATTACTGTACTGTATATCGGTGTTAAAAGTTCGCGAATTATTGGTCGCATACGTCGTTGTTCCGAGAGACGTGTGTATGGCAAGAATCCGGTAAGTCTCTCGAATAAGGAGACGTCCAAACGCTGTAAAATAGTTGTAATATAATTGTTTATAACTACAATTTCGAAGAATAAAGTGAATTGAAATTTATTTATTACGTGTTTTTCAGCCAATTCGTAAACTGCAGTGCTGGGTCGCAGTTGTTCATGATCACTGATTTAGAATGATTTAACAGATTAATATTGGCTAGTTAATAAATTAGTAATCAACATAGTATTTGATGTTTAATCTTACCCGATAAGTATTAAATGCTCAGTGGCCGGCGTGAGAGCCGTGATAATGTGAGCTTCTAACGTTTCCGCAGCTTCTTCAAGCATAATAATTTTTGGCTTGAGATTGACCAACAGGTCATGATTTTTAGCCTAAATTAAGCGAAAACGCAATATGGTGACCAATACCGATTTAAACGATTGCAAGTATTTCACCCGATATAAATTTCGAATACACACCGCAGCAGTGGTAGTCATGCCAACCACTCGAGCATCCTGTAAAACTAAAATATCCTCGCGTATCCGTTCCTTTTTAATCTCTGCACAAAGCTCTGCATACTTTGCATTCAATTTCTCAAGTTCTTTCTGTGCACCCTGCACTTTTTTACTTTTCCATCTATTATGAATTGCAGCGCGAGCTTTTTCGGGAATCGACCAAACATCATCGGTTGACTCGAATTCTTTTATCTCCTTATCTGTAAGAAATCCATAATCGTCGTCTACATACTCTTCACTTCTCAAATACACGAAATTTCCATTAAGCGTTTGAGTTTCGTCTCGAAATTGACCATCTTGGAACTCAGCCTCGATGATTTGAAGCAATTCCTCGTCAATTTCAGTATCATCTTCCGCTTCGATCACTTTTCGGCCTTCAAGATCCATCTGTGCGAGCTGATGCTCGATTGCATCGTGTTTCGAAGAATGCACTGTAATGACTGGTTCGAGCCATTCTCTAATGAAATCGCGTCCTGATTCTTCATCCGTCGCGTAATTTTTCGAGGTGACCCAGTCGTCTTGCTGGAGACTTGTTAATTGCTCATCGCTAAGTAACCCCTGTTCTTTTACAAAGTCTAAGCTAATGCATGGGTTGCTTATCTCTTCACATAGTCGGCCCATCATGTTCTCAATCCGATTACGTTCTCTCATTAATCGTTTACGTGGTAGATTGAACACTTGTTCAGATGCCTTTAGAGTTTTTGAGATATTATATAATGTTTTAGGAATAATCTTTTCTGATTTAGAACGAGAGCCAAGACGAATAATGTTTGGTTCAAATTCTTGTATTCCTATAATCCGAAAAAAAAAGCTTAGTTCTCAAGTTCATAAATATGGAATTTTTTAAAAATTTGCGAACCAACCTTCTAGGAATTGATCCAAAGCATGGTTAGTCTGACAAGCAATTACAATCAAACTGGAAGAACTAGTATTTTCGAGCAGTAAGCGAATCGCAGCTAACCCGACATAGGTTTTACCAGTCCCCGGAGGACCCTGAATTAATGCAAGACGTTGAGTCAACATTCGAGAAATTGCTTCGTATTGCGACATGTGGAGCGTTGTGTCAAGTTGATCATAATCCGGCCATGAGTCTCTAATATTAATCTAATTGAAAAATAAAAATAATTAATTTCTGCTAATACATTTTTGGAGGGAATAGCTTTTTAATTGAAAAAATTTTAAAGACCATTTTATCCTCTAGTTATTATCAAAATAAAGAACTATTATAATGTACCTTCGTCGTGCCAATACTTTCTTCCAGATTTTTTATCCCTTCCAAATTCTTAAATTCATAGATTGGATGACCACGACGAAGTAGGTATTGTGGAGGTTCTATATTACAGTCTTGGTTCACGAAATGTGATTTAAACGGAAGATTCTTTGGATTCAACTCCTGCAAGACTTTTTGGACGTGACGATAAGCTAATATGACGAGTATTTAATCAATTTTGATATTGCTTGTCAAAAACTTCTAATTTCTTTGAGACTAAAAAATAACCAATTATGCATTTTCTATACCTTCGAAATAGGCAGAAGTGCATTCCACCTGATACATATGATTATATGTAAAATTTCAATCATCAATTCAATCAGAAATGCATTTGAAAAAAGAAGCGTAATTTTACCATTATATAGTTTGTTGGCCAGTTATAATAGAATGTATTCCCGGAAAAAAGAACTTCTATTTGTAGGTCTGATCGCTGAGTTAGAAGTTCCAGTGGACGATTGACTACTGTGCCTACCACCATATTTTCGAAATTGTCGTTTGTGAAAACGATTAAAGTGCCGGAAATTAATCTTTTACTCTGTGACCTTTTTTTTGTAATCATTGTGATACTTATTAGACCAAAATTTTGCTAAATGGTGGCTATTTAGCAAATAGATAATAATGATATGATTAATATACCAAGTAACATGTTCACCGTATTTAGTTCTGAATGAAATTCGATGAACGACTCCCATGCTCGCAAATGTAACTCCAACAATTTGTATCTGCAAAATTCAATAATAAAATTATGAGTTTCAAAAAAGATGATTTTTGAATTTAATCAATAACTCACATGTTCATACACTCTAATATCAGACAATTCCTCTTGAATCTTTTGCATTTCGGTTGCAGGATCAACATACTCAACTGTCTCCCCATATTCATTATCGTCATCAGTCTTTTGTTTCCCACCATCATTAATCCTTCGTAGCTTCTGAATGCCTTCTCGTAACGGGCGTATACAATCTTCCCTCAACAGCCGACAATGAGTCGACAAATATTCGTCAACATTTTCATAAGGCTGAACAAGTTTATTGACTGGCAAATCTTTAGGCCGCCTCGCAAGTAACTCTCGCTGTGTAGGTAAAATAGGTATGGCGCGAAATCCTGTTTTCTCTGGTTTCTCCAGAACGATAAGTTCTGGTAACACGAGACCTTTGTCTTCTTTTCTTGATGATTTTCTATTATTGGAAGAATAATGTCCTGATTTCGTGTTCGACGACGATGACATGTGTTTTTTATTGCGACTACTGCCTTTACTGGAAGTTGACCATTCGACCTCGTCGTCGTCGTCATATGAATGCGATTTTTTTAGTGAGAAACGCGAGCTGTTATGATTCCCTTTTGACCGTTCGATCTCGTCGTCATTGTGTGAATGCGATTTTCTCTGTGTGAAGCGCGAGTTGTTGTAATTCTGATTGGAAGTATCTCTTCTGGTAGTATCTTTAATATTATTTGATTTAGACGCGGATACTTCTTTTTCATAGACAAAAGATGAGCGCTCTGAATTCCTAGTATCACTTGAAGTAATGATTCTTTTCTTGCCATCTGTTTGGTTGTCATTACGTGATTGAGGCGGCGGCCAATTAGGTTTTTCGATGGTAAGCACACGTCTACCACCTGAACTTACTCCACCACCATTAATATTGTCACGTGAAGAATCTTGTTTCTTTGGCGTGTTGGATACTTTTTCTTGGTCATATGATAAGTCTTCAAAACGGGATGAAGTCTTGATCCACGCGTCAGCTTTATTTTTTGATATCGTGCCTGAAGACCAATCTATTGATTCTTTTTGTTGTGGTGGTAGTTGTGACTGTCTACTAGATGCATTATCAACATCGCTATCTATTTTTTTCCCCCGATTCCACGGTGCAATCACCTTCGTCGTCGACTCTTTCGATGATCTCGATGATGTATCGGAATAATTTGACATAGATTCGATGTTGTTTGATTTATTAATGGTGGAGGTGGTGGTCTTATTCCAGGGGTTTTTCACATTAGAAGCCGAACTACTATCATGTGACATGCGCGCACTAGCTGCCCATGGTATTTGTTCCTTTGAAATTTCCCGAGACGCAAATTCCGGCCTCACAGTTGATTTAGCACCCCAAGGTAATGTCTCTTGCTTCACCTCCCACGGCACGTTTTCTTTTTTTGGAGGCTCACGAATCCAAGGCAGGCGTTCGTTTTGTTCCGAATCACTTTCTTGATTAGCTGGAGTAGTTTGCTTCCAAACTAACTTCTGATTTTTATTCTGTGCTACCTTGGTAGTAACAGTCCAGTTGGCAGCATTAGGCTCACTGTCATTAGTTGAAGGGGTTCCCCATACTTCGAATGCTTCTTCGGTAAGCTGCGTCCACGCATTTTTGTTATCACTCATATTCGCACAGGTTCTAGGGGTACTGGTGGTAATGAAATAACAAGTCAAAGTTGCAATTGGTCTAGCTTAATTTGTATCGAGTTGTTTTTCTTGTTCTATAATAAAACTGAACAGATCAGATCCATATATACGAAAATAAAGAAAATGATCTCTTCAATAACAGAATACATCAAGAAACACCGTCAAGGCATTAGTATAACAGTATTTATCGCTGGAAGTTCTTATTTTATTGGAAAGTATGCTAAATGGAAAATAGAAGAATACAGAGACAGAGCTGGAGCTGAAAGAACAGCGAAAGAAAAGTAATAAATTATATAGATAAATAATTCGAGCTTGCAAGAATGTTAACTTGTTCATTTTCATGCGTCCTACATAATAATGTTTATATAACATAAAGTATGAAACGTCGCTTCCAGCAAAGACAGAATGATTGCACGTATACTGTACTCTCCCACCTTCCAACCTTGGGATACGAACTACTATCCGCGATAGACGTTGAGTCTGTCATTGCCAAACTGCAAGAATTGAAGGTTAAATCAACTTCAACACCGGCAGTTTCTCCGATTTCATCGGTTGTTATAGTCGATGAAGATAAAGAAACAACACCGACGCAGACGCCGTCGGCTTCGATTGTTTTAGTTGAGAAACCTGATAATACCGAGTCAACATCAAATTTAGAAGGTCATGACAATGAAGAAAACGCGCCGTCGTCTCATTCGCCAGGTGAAGCAAATGTAAATGGTTCAAGTCCAAGCTCTTCTACTTCTCGTGTGAATCCTAGAGCTGCAAAACTTGAATTATGGAGTGAACTAAAGATAAAGAGTATATATTTAATTTCGATTGATAACTGTGAAATTACAACAATAGTGAATTTCTTAAACCTTGTTTCGTTTAGGCTTTACTCGAACCATATCCACCATATACTTAATCACATTCCTCACAATTCTAATCCATATACAATTAAACCTGCTGGGTCGTTTCAATTACCTATACTCGGTGGTATCACTTACCGAACGCGAAAAAGAGCAAACTATTCATATACAACCGGCCAAAGGAACAATCCTAAATTTCGAAAATGAAAAAAGATATCTGACGTTTAGTTGGTGGCTGTTGAATATTGGATGGAAACGTGTTGTTGAACGTGTGAGAATTGTAGTTGAGAGGATTCTTTCAGAGTTAGTTTCTTATTTATTTTACAATATAAAAATTTTTGGTTAACTGCTCTTTAATTCTCAGTATGAAGATTGAGCAAGACATTTCGTACAAGGATTTTGTATGGCTCATTAGTGAGATTCGAGCACAAGTTGAGTCGAATGAAGAATTTGAAAGGTATTATTATTATTATATTAATTATCATCATTTCAATATAGGCAAAAATAAATACTTATTTATTATATTAGTTTCCGTCATGTTATGTTACCAAATTCGTTAGAAGAAGAAATTGAAGTACTCCGACAAGGAGGGGGTGCACAAGAGGATCCAACAATTGATGACGAGCTTAGAAAATTATTGGATGAATCTAAAGATTTTTTGGATAGGTATATCATTTATCCAAATCTATTTCACCATATGATTTAGTAATATAATAATTCACGCATCATTTTAAAGTGATGATTTTCGAGATGTACTCGCAGCGTGTATCGATTCCGCATTTTCACTATTACATAGCAACATGTATTCGAGATTTCTTGCGGTACCAAACAGCGAGGAGGATGACGACGACTCGGAACAAATAGAACGCCCGGTCGCACTTGTCCGACTTTTACCTGATATCTCTAAAGAGGCGCATGTTGTGATCAATGGTGTGCCTAATCGATATCTGGAGGTTTGTTTTTTGCTGGGTTTTTTTTTCAATAAATCCTCAAATAGTTGTTCTATAAATCCTAACTCAATTACAGGCTGTAAAAAATGTTAAACAGTTGCAAGAGCTATCTGCTGTAATTTACTCGTCGTTTGATGAGGAATTTTTTTGAGATTGTAATTAGGTATGTTGTTTTTTTGAGGTTGTTTCTATAATCGTTGCTAATCTTATCACTTATACACTCACGGATATTTTATTTGTTTATTAAGTTCGGGATAAAGAATAAATATTTCAACTATGTCAAAATAAATAAAAAAAGCAAAGTATTAAATTAAAAATGAAAGTATATGATTAATTAAAATCTAAACACTAATAGAACGTTCTATGAAAATAAATTAATAATCAAATTATGAGATGTAGACACACACACACATATATATATTGTCTTGCGATTATTAAAAAATGTTCAATGCTTAAACAAGATTTCAAATACATAGACTTTCAAATGAAATCTTTTACCATTATTTTGGCTGTTCAGGGATAACATTTATCTTCTCAATGATCTGTTCCAATGGTGCAGGTAATTTAGAAGATACCCAATCAGGATCGGTCAACTGTGATATGTCGTCACCTCTATGTGGTAGTATTGCCTAGAGAAATTTCACTCTCGAGATTAGCAACCAGGTAATAAATAAATGAATAATTGATTTTTTATTCTTTTCGGCATACCGCGCGTATTTTGTCGTAAGCTTCTTCCCGCGACGAATATTCTCTAATTAAATAGACAGTCCCAAATTCATGATATACTCTTGTCTCATTTAATCTAAATAACACATCATCTACCCTTAAAAAGAAGCGTTGCAGAACAAAGAATCCTGATGGCATGACTCGCTAAGTAATCATCAAAAAATTAAAGTTAAATACAGAAATAAAATATATTAGATAAAAAATAATCTTACCATTTTTGCATTTAACATTGCGGTGCCGTTATCAGCCAGTTCATCCTCGAAAAGGATATTCTCATCATAAAAATTGATCGGCTCTGGCAATTTGAGTTTCTCTATGTCAATACGATCAGTTGTTGGCTTGAAATTCTATATGTTTTGATGTAAAAATAGATTTTTTTGAAGGTGAGCGAACGATATGGTCATATGTTATATTCACACAATAACTCTAGACAAAAAACCTGCCCATCCGGTGCTGATTTTAATGTGCAACGATAAGTGGTGGAATATGTCCAATCGTATGACTTCACTACATCTTTAACATGCTCATGATTCTTTTCACTTTTTTATTTTTAGAGAAAAAATAATTTTTTGGTTATTAGTAAATATTAGATGATTCATTGAAAATCAAGGGACTATTTTCAACCTTTTCTTCTTCCATTCCTCAGAATAGGCAAGTTTAACTTTATCACCACCTTCTCTAGACGCGTCCACGTGCTTCAAAGCCTCCATAGGCGAAAACTCGAACTCGAAACCATGTTCATTAGAAATTGTGATTCGGTTATTGCCAAAGAACATTTCAGGAAGAGGAATTTCTAATTCTGCTTGTGCACTAAAGCAAAGTTGAGACGAAATTCCACAAGCATCCCAAACAAAAATTCCTTGAATCGTACCGTTCTATTTCTTTTGCATTAAGAATAGGAAGCTTGGTCGAGGTAATTGTCCAGCCATGCGTAATAATGCCTTTGGTAGGCCCCTCTTGGATATTTTTTATTACAGCAGTAGCAAAATTTGACATTTTGACCAAAACGATTTCGCAGAATTATTGATTTTCGCGCGTATTAATGACACCATATTACTCAAATAGAGTCTAAATCCGGATTAGGCTATACATAGCGATAGTATTACGTTACATAAAATTTTTATTTGTATAATTTGATGGATTGTAACACATCAATAATAATAAATATTAAATATTACTAAGTAAAGTTATTATTTCCTGCATGAAGATGTCTTATAACAAGATCATGGCTCCATCAAGCAAAACCCGAAGAAATATTCCTCGGGCGCCATTAACATCTCTATCTATTTTTATATTGCAATTCCTCCATTTGTACATTTCTGATCCTTCAATATTCTGAATGTTTCCACACCAACTACATGTCTTTGACGTTGTCACGAGTGGGCTCTTGGATGGGTGATCTCATGGCGTAGATGTTCGACCAACGTCTACGTAACTCATACTTCGTGTACTCGAGCTTGTCAGATTCTATCACTTCAGGACCATTGTGCAGTGCAACTTTTTTTATCTGTTAGATAGACTCTTACTATTACTAATAGATTAATATGTCTACTTAGTATGGGACAGTCCTAAAGCAATACAGTACTAATATTCTTTAGCAACTTTGGTTGATGTCCAATAATGCATAATTAATGTAAGTATATTAGTATTGGATAATTATTGATTAATCAATTAATGTACAAATTTTATTAACAATAAACAAGAAATAGTTTATTGACTAGCTAGATTTTTGTAATAATTAATTAATAATGCTTAAGACTTTATTTCTCATTGTATTTATATATTTTAAAGTTACATTGATATAATAGACATATTTAATATGATAAATATAACTTATAAAATGGATATATTGGATAAAATAAATATTTTAAATAAAATAAATATATTAAATAAAATAAATATATTAGATAAAATATATATATTTAATAAAGCAAATATTTTTGTTATAATAAATATAAATTATGAAATTATGAATTTTCAATTATAATAACATATAAGTTTTATTTTGAATTATTACATGAATTTCTGCTTTTGAAATCAATTATTAAAACTTGTAATAAATTAACAAAGCATCTTTCTAATTGTTTTTCTTGTTGTTTTTCATGTTTTTTTATTTATTATATTTGAAATCTTGAAAGAAAGAATAACAATTATTTCAAAAGAACTTAATTATTTTTAATAAATCTTATTTTGCAATTATCTGATCTTTTATTACATACAAAAAATAGCTTTGTCAATTTATAATACTTTTTTATTTCAAAATTAAAAATATCAAACTAAAAGTGATTTCCAAAATAACATTATTTAATTAAATAATTTGCTGAAATTAACTTGCTAAAATTAAATTTGAAATTATTTTGATTTATTTTATTAGTAATTAAAATTATTTTCTGAAATTATTAGTATTTCTAGATGATTTTTAAGTATAATTAAACCTCTTTATAGTTATTATCCTTAGGAAAGCAAACTTTGGTGACTATAGAGGGGATGTAATTATAAAAAGATTTTTTTACTATATTTATATATAAATAAAAAAGCAAAATAAAGTGATTATAGAGAGGTATAACTATAAATAAATATAATTATAAAGAAATTTAACTGTATTCATTAATATAATCAATATAATAAAACTAAATTACTTGTCAAACTATTATTTTTTCAAAATAATTTAGATAAATATTTTTATATCAAATCATTTTTTTGATATAAGATTATTTATTTATTTACATAAATAAAAAAAAATATTTTATATTATATTTTCTATCTTGTTTATATTTTTTATTAAAAAATATTATATAAATAAAGTACAAATTCCTGGATCAATTAAAACTATATGAATTTTTGCTTGTATTTTATAAATCTGTTTCTGTATTTTGTATATTCAATACAATATTCATTTATTTATTTTATATATATGAATTTATAATTATAATTTATTTATTATATTTTCTTTTGTTTCAAAATTAAATAGATACAAATCATATTTTTTATCTTTTAATTTATTGAATTTGTATTATTTTAATAATAAAATTAAAAAATTATGAAAATATATAATATAAAAATAATTTTAATCTTTCTTTAAAAAGTTTTGTATACAAGTAATTATTATTTGTTATAAATCTTTTTTAGATTTAAATAATAATAATAATTTTTTAGTCTTTTAAATTTTTATTAATATTTTCATTAATTATATTTGCAAGTACTTTATTAAATAAATTTTTAAAATGTAATTCTAACTATATAATTATTTAAAGAAATTTATATTTTTCTTATACATATGATTTCTATAATTTTTTTGTTTTTTTATTAAGATCTTTCTTTTTTTTATATTTATATATAATTTAAGTTTTTTATTGAGTATTTGAAATTTTATTTATTTATTATTATCATTATTTTATATAATTTTAAGCTTTATTATAAAAAATAATATATAATATTAAATTAAGTGAGAGTTTTTATAAAAAATAACTTTAAATAAGAAAGAGAATATAAATATTTAAAAATAAAAAGATATATGAATATCTAAAAGTAAATAACATATATTTATTTATTGATCAGCTAAAAATATTTAAAAATAATTATATTTTTCAAAAATTGATTTATAAACAAGTAAAATATAATTTTTTTATTAATTCAATTATATAGCATTAACTTTATAAACTAGATAAAAAATCAATTATAAATATTATAAGAAATATAATTTTGCAAACTAGATAAGAAATTATAAATTAAATAATAACAATAATTTTGCAATTAAAATGAGAGATTATTAAATACTAACTAAGAATTAAGAAAAATATAACAAAAGATAAATTCAATTTTTTAACTTGTTTTTCTTCTAAGCTAAAATACATGCTATATTTATAAATAAATTACAATAATTAACTTCTAATAAAATTATAAATTAAATTAAATTAAATTTCAAACTGAAATTCAAATAAAAATTCAAATAGAAATTCAAATTGAAATTGAAATTTGAACTGAATTTCAAATACTAATTAAAAATATAATTATCCAATAAAATTATTTTGAATATTAATATTATAAAAAATATAAAAAAATATAAAATTAAATATAAAAAATATTAAACTATAATATTATGTTTAGAATTGTTACAAAATGATGATTTTTGTTCCATTTAAAAACAATATTATAAACATATTTTATTAATTCAAGCCATTTCTTCAAGCTTTTTTTTCGAATGATTTGAATAAATTATTTTTGCTTCATATTTTTATCATTTTGTTTTCTTTTATTTTCCATTCTCTTTTGTTTTCCATTCTCTTTAATATATAGCTGCTTTTCTTTTTTGTATTTAATAAATGAAGATAATGTTGATTGCAAGAATATCTTGTAATAATTCATGTTCATCAGAACTTGATTTATTAAAGAGAATTCATAAATTTTGTATAATATAATAAAAACATATATTTGATAAGATCAAATACAAATCTGCAAAGTTGATTATGGTGGGTTCTGAGATCATTTATTTACTTGATTGTTCCAGTAAGATCAAATGCAAATCTGCAAAGTTGATTATGGTGGGTTCTGAGATCATTTATTTACTTGATTGTTCCAGTAAGACCTTAAGTTCATTTCTTTTGAAATTGATACTTGATCTGACATCACTAACAAGTTCATAATTTGGGAATCTGGATTTAAGAATCTGTTTCTGTCTTTCAAGATCTTTTTGTTTGTTACTTGAGACACGTGCGTATAGGAAACCTTTCTTTTCGGTAACGGAGATGGTTGAGGTATCATTTTGAATAATTAACTCTGGAAAAAACAAATATCATAGGGAGAGTTCCAGATGGAGATGTCTTCACAGATATTTTTCCCTGTTTTAACCAACGTATCAAAGTATCAGATGAAATTCCAAGCTTAGTTATTTTGTGAGCAGATAAATACGTGAGAAAAATTATAATTCTGAAAATATAAGGTTTTATTAACATTAATATGACCTAATAATCTGTGTTTCTATCAACCTAATCTAATAACATAATAAGTGATTAATTATATTATTTGTCGATAATTTTATGCGGTATATCGCGTTGGTGTTATATGAGATCGAATTAATTAGTAATCGTAATTTTTTTTCGTTTTATTGTTTTCGAGCGCGATAAATGTCTAGCTTCACTGTACCAACAAATCTTGTACCTCTATATGACCAGAACTCGTTGTCAAAAGCAGTCCAAAATGGAGTTCCTACTTCGGCTACCTTTAAAACCAAAGTAGGACTTGCTCAAATGTTAAAGGTATTATTTTTACCTCGTGGAAAATAATTCAACTCTAGTTTTCGTCTCGTAGAATATCTATCAAACAAAATATTAACCTCATATTTTCATGTAAAAGGGTGGTGTCATTATGGATGTAATAAATGCTGAGCAAGCGAGGATAGCAGAGGAAGCTGGCGCTACCGCCGTAATGGCATTAGAGCGAGTTCCGGCGGATATTCGAAAAGATGGTACAATTAATTATACAATAAAAATTTTTGATAATAATATATTCTTTCAGATATATATTGCTAATTTCTCTACAATAATAATAAAAGGTGGCGTGGCACGTATGTCTGATCCTAAAATGATTAAAGAGATAAAGAATGCAGTTACAATTCCAGTAATGGCCAAAGTTAGAATTGGTCATTTTGTAGAAGCACAAGTGAGTATTAATATTCTAGACCTCCATTATTTGTGTCTAAGATGCATACACACGCGCATTTATTAAACCTTTTCTCAAAGATTTTGGAAGCAATCGACGTAGACTTTATCGACGAGTCAGAGGTACTTACACCAGCAGACGAACAACATCACATAAACAAACAAGATTACAAAGTCCCGTTTGTATGTGGTGCCACAAATCTGGGCGAAGCCCTTCGACGTATCTCAGAGGGCGCTGCCATGATACGTACTAAAGGCGAAGCCGGCACTGGCAATGTTGTCGAGGCTGTACGCCATATGCGGACCATCACTTCGGAAATTAAGCGAGCATCCGTGATG